GATTGTTCTCTTCTTTCCTCTCTGAAACAGAAAGGAGCTCACAGGAGGAGTGGCCTGGCCTTCACCAAGAGGCTGAACGCACCTGCCGGGGGACACACAAGGCAGGAGCCTGGCGTGGCCCCTGTGGCTGCACCCAGCCTCTAGGGAAAAACCGACACACCTTGTTGCGTCAGAGGCAAACCCCGGCCGATACGGCCTCTCTGTCCCATCCCAGGAATTTATCAAATTGCTTTTCCCAAACCATCAGCTTTTTTGCTTTATGAGTGATGTGGGAAGTAGCAAAGTTCCTTTTTAAAGTTTCCTTTCTTGGTGAATCTTAAGTGTGCTCATAACTTTGTTAAGCCCTATGCTATGTAGCTGTTGGACATGCCGTGCTTACGTAGTACACTCTATGTCCTTGTACCTTAATCAGGATACCCGTGCTGGACGTGCTCACAGGCATGTCCCAGTTCGCCATTGTTCTCACCTGTTTAGAAAAGTTTAAAGTCGTTAGCCAATCGGGTTTTAGTTTAGATGGTGAGGTCTGGCTTCAGCCAACGGAGATCAGGCACAGCAGTAAGGACAACCCCAAAGGCGTCAGGGACACATCCGTGTTTTCTGTTTGTTCATTGAACTTTTGTGGCACAATGCCTAGTGAGAGTACCCTTCCTGCAGTCCAGCAGGTAAAAGTTGCGTTACTGAAAGATCCTTGGTCTCAGTGCTAATGTTTCTTTGTGGCACTGAGCATCTATTTGCGACATCTATTCCCAACAAGTAATAACAATTTTTAATCTTTAGTGATTGACTCTTCCTACTTTCTTTTGATCTGGTTAATTTTTGTGTGTATACATGCAGTAAAATCACTTACGGTGACAGCATTTCCTTTGGCTATAGTCTATCAATTTTATTTATTTACTTTTACATTTTAGATCATGTGCCATTTTTGTTTTTTGAGACAAGGTCTCACTCATGTCCCAGGCTGGGGCACAGTGGCATGATCATAGCTCGCTGCAGCCTCCAATCCTGGCCTCAAACAACTCTCCTGCCTTGGTTTCTCAAAGTGGAGATTACAGATATGGGGCAAAGGGAATGGGGCTCCGTGCCCTCCCTGGGTGTGGCACCCTCCAGGAACGTCCACACGTTCAGCTCTCCGGAAGCTCCCGCGCCGTCCTTTGGGGTTTTGTGGAGGATAGGCATGTCTGACATATAAATGGACAAAAGGTACATGATGGAAACCCAGCAAAGGCCTGTCTGTTCAGACTTTCTTGGCCTCTCTGAGTAGCAGTCTTTCCTTCAGGGGACAGGCAGAACCTTCTCTGGAATGGGGGTCTTCTGACCCACAGTTGGGAGTCCTGCCTTGGACAGGTGAAAGAATGGAAGTTCAGAGAAAGAGATTCTGTTTCCTGAGGCCTAAAGCGCCCCAACATTGCAACAGATGAGTGTAATGAGGGTTATGGGAGTTCAGGGTCAAGAGGCTGCACTCAAACCTGTAGCTATACAATCATCCTCTCACAATGCTGTTCACTAGTTCAACCCAAGCTTGCTAGCAGCTCACCAAGGCTCCTCTCAGTGTGCTCAGATAACCAGCGAGTCTATCCATTTCATCTTAGAGAACGGGCTTCTGACCCGCAGCCCACCAGCCTGGCTACTCCCAACTCCTGGGAACTGCCTTCGCTGCAGAAATCTCCTCCAGCCCTCTGCTGGGTAGGATGCCCGGTTCCTGTCTCCGGGTCTTATCCGTCCTTGGTTTAATCCAGCAGCGTGCTGGTGCCGGCTGGCACAGCTGTCTCTTCCCACCTCTGTCCGCTAACTTCACTTCGTCAGCATGTAACCGGCCTTGGTGGCGTAATTACACCAAGGACATCGGTAAATGCTAAAATCAGGGCTCCTCTCCACCGGAGACCTGCTTTAATCCCTCCTTTTGTTGACACTCATCTTCCAGTGGCTTCCTGAGAAAGAGGTTGAATGTGCAAGAAAAATTCTGCCACTATATTCCACAGATGAAAATATCCTTATTGTACTCCCCAACCTGATTCCAGCGGAGCGTAAAATTCTCATTTAGAATATTTGCTTTCAGGGGCCGGGCACAGTGGCTCATGCCGCTAATCCCAGCACTTTAGGAGGCCAAGGTGGGTGGCGTGCTTGAGTTCGGGAGCTCAAGACCAGCCTGGTCAACAGGGCGAAACCCCATCTCTACTAAAAACACACCAGGCTGTGGTGAAGCACACCTGTAATCCCAGCTACTCGGGAGGCTGAGGCATGAGAATTGCTCGAACCCAGGAGGTAGGGATTGCAGTCAGCCAAGATCCTGCCACTGCACTCCAGCCTGGGCGACAAGAGCAAGATTCCATCTTAAGAAGTAAATAAAATATGGCCGGGCACGGTGGCTCATGCCTGTAATCCCAGCACTTTGGGAGGCCAAGGCGGGCAGATCATGAGGTCAGGAGTTCAAGACCAGCCTAACCAACATGATAAAACCCTGCCTCTACTAAAAATACAAAACTAAAAAAAAAATTAGTTGGGTGTGGTGGCACACACCTGTAATCCCAGCTACTCAGGAGGTTGAGATAGGAGAATTGCTTGAACCCAGGAGGTGGAGGTTGCAGTGAACCAAGATCGTGCCATTGCACTCCAGCCTGGGTGACAAGAGTGAGACTCCATCTCAAAATAAATAAATACATAAATAAATAATAATAATAATTGAATACTTTCTTCAGGAAACAGCACCCTGTAGGGAGGGAGCATCTGATGACCCTCGAAGTTTGAGAGCCCCTCCTAACCTTCCAATGGCCTGTCTGCTGAACCAAGAAGCCAGCAAAACTGCTGAGTAAACAAATATTGAAGAACTGGATGCCATTTCAGTCACACATGCTTGCAGAAGGGCACTGATACGGTAATGCCTCCTGTACACATAGCAGAGTCTGAAGACCACAAGGTGAGTTTGTGTCTGCAGGCCTGCAAGGAGGTGGCTCACATGGAAGTCCCCACACAAGCGCACTCAGTGTGAACTTTTGGAGCATCGGCCCACGCTCAGGCCCACAGGTAAGATGACAGGAGCCCCTGCCCTTGTGAAAGCTTGGGTCACAGAGCTGCTGGTGAAGGGGGCGAGTGAAGGTCTCATGTGGCCTGTGCAATTCAGGCAGAAATGAGGACCGGTGGGAACCCACCAGGCAGACGACAAGCTGAAAGGCTCCCAGGGAGCAGACACTTCAGGGCCCCAAAAGGCCAAGAGGAAGAAAAAAAAAAAAAGTCCAGATGTGGTGGCTCATCCCTATAATCCCAGCACTTTTGGGAGGTTGAGGCAGGCGGATTGCTTAAGCCCAGAAGTTTTAAGTCCTGCCTGGGCAACATGGTGAAACCCTGTCTCTACAAAATATACAAAAGTTAGCCCTGTATGGTGGTACAAGCCTGTAGTCCCAGCTATTTAGGAGGCTGAGGTAGGAAAATCATATGAGCCAGGGAGGTGGAGGCTGCAGTGAGCTGTGATCATACCGCTGCACTCCAGTGTGGGGAACAGAGTGAGACCCTGTCTCAAAAAGGCCAGGAGTGGAGGCCAGGCCCCAGGCTGGGAGGTTTGGCGTGGCTGGCAGGAGCCTCGTGAGAAGGCTGTGGCTGGCAGGGGCGTGCCGCAGATGGCTGCTGCAGACCACGGAGCTTAGCCTTCAGGATTTAGAGCTGGGGACGACAGGCTCAGGTGTCCTTGTTGCCGGGAGGGAAGCACAGGCACAAGAATGAGTCCAGGGCTCAGCTCCAGCTCGGCTGGGCCCACAGTGGGGCAGTAAATGTGGGCAAGGCCCAGCTTCAGAGGAACGTGATGAACAGGAGCCGTGGTCACCGCCTGTGCCCTGGCTTCCCTGCCCTTCAAAGTTTGTGTTCTGAGCTGAGGTGAGGCCCACGTGAAATCCGAGCAGGCTCTGGAGTCACCAGACACCTAGGGAAGCATGGAAGGCCTGGAAGGTCACATACAGCTGGGTGAGCCCACATGGGGCCGGGCAGGCTCAAGGAGTCCAGTCCTGGGCTGCAGGCCAGTTCTCCACGCAGGTGGTCCTGGAGGTGAGCTGGTTCTGGAAGTAGGTTCTGGAAATGGGCCAGTCCGGGAAGCAAGCTCTGGAAGTAAAGTGATTCAGAAAGCAGGTTTCTTCTGGAAACAAGTTCACAAACAGGTTCTGGAGACAGGCAGTTCTGAAAGCATGTGGGTTCCAGAGGCAGGTGCAAGAAGGAGGCGGGTTGTGGACGGAGGTTCTGGAAGGAGGCGGGTTCTGGAAGGAGGAGGATTCTGGATGGAGGTTCTGGAAGCTGGTTCTGGAAGCTGGTTCTGGAAGGAGGCGGGTTGTGGACGGAGGTTCTGGAAGAAGGAAGGTTCTGGAAAAAGGCGGGTTCTGGAAGCTGGTTCTGGAAGGAGGCGGGTTCTGGACGGAGTCTCTGGAAGGAGGAAGGTTCTGGAAAGAGGCGGGTTCTGGAAGCTGGTTCTGGAAGCGGGACGACTCCGGCAGACGCGCCCCGCTCGGGCTGGGGCCGGGCCTGGCGCCCCCGCTCCGCGGGCGGAGAAGAAAGCCGGCATTGTCGGAGAACTCACCCTGGCATCCGTCCCTCACAAAACCGGTGTAAAAACCCCATTGTGAACATTTCTGGAGCCAGCCTCTGAGAGGGTCCCGTTGCCGGGGTGACGGGACGGAACGGCGCGGGCGGGCAGACGCAGAGTCCCCGCCGCGGGAGCCGAGGAGCCGGGCCCGCCCGCCTCTCCGCTCGGGACGTTCCGCGCGCTTTCCCTCCGTCTCCCGAACCTGTCCGCGCGCGCCGCGGCCGCCTTGGCGCATGCGCAGTGCGATCGGCCGCCGGGCCGCCGGCCTTGGGGCCGCGGTTGCCAGGGGTTACCGGATTCCGAGACCCCGCGGGCGGGCGGGGCTGGCCGGCCAGAGCCCGCCTTCCTGGAGCTCTGGTTGGCTGACCTTGCTGTCCGTCGAAGCGGCCTTGCCGCCTATTGGGCAGCGGCCAGCTTGGCACGCCGGCCCCGCGTCCCGCCCAGCCGCCCCCACCCAGGAGGGACAGTCGGGGACCCGCGCGACACCGAGGAGCCGGCGTCCGGGGTGGTGCGGGCGGCCCTGGGGCCCCCCGGCGCGGCGGGCGCGGAGATGATCCTGGAGGAGAGGCCCGACGGCGCGGGCACCGGCGAGAAGACTGCGCGGCTGCAGGTGCGCAGGACGGGCGCGGCGGCGGGAGGAGGGGCCCGGACACAGGCGGGGAAACTGAGGCCAGAGCCTGCGTCCTTCCTCCTCTGGGCTCGGCGGAGGCGCTTCCAGGCCACTCAAATGAGCCCAGGAATGAGGGGAGCCCAGGTCTGGATCATCTTCACCGCTGAAGCGGGCAACGGGGCTCCCTCCTCTTGGTCCCCTCTGGGCAGGTGTGGGGCCGGGCTCTGTGACCGCTGTCCCCACACTCGCCTTCCTTTCCAGGCCTGTACAGCCTCTATCTCTGGCTCGGTGCTCCCTCTGCACCCGCTCCGGAACTGCGTGCCCGTTGGGTGCACTTGTAGCAGCGGGCAGGGAAGCCTCCTGGGTATGGGAAATGGAGAGGCCTTCCTGGCTGGTCGCTCCTCAATTCCCAAACCTACGCCCCTTCTGAGGTCCCTAACCTGGGGGCTGACTGGGCAAGTGGGAGGGGTAGGCAGGGCTGTGGAGACCTGTTGCGTCTGTGCCCGGGGAAGAGGGCACGTCCGTGGGCCTTGTTCTGCAGCCCAGAGCCTGCGTGTTCCCTGTGGACCAGCTCGAGGTTGCCCGAGTGTTCCTGCCAGGTACTGGGTCCCCGTGCCCCCCACGGGCTTTTAGTCGAGGGCTGCCCCTCCTGCTTGCTCCAGGCGAGCCTTGGATGGCACCCAGCTCTGCTCCCCTCTGGGACACGTCAGACTGCATTGTCCCTGGGCTGGCTCTACTCAGCTTTGGTGTCTGGGCTCGGGTCTCCTGGGGGAGGAGGCAGTGCCATCGCAGGTCACTGGGCCGGTGATGCTGACCAGAGCCCTAAAGGGCTCCCTTTCTGCCCACCCCGAGGCTGCAGCATCTCCCGGCCACTGGAGAGAGAGGCAGCCTGTGCCTGCCCTTGGTGAGCTCACTCCGGCAGGGTGGCCATGCCTGCAGGTGGCCTGGGATGGCACATGTTGTTTTGAGTAGAATGTTTGGGAAGCTGCACAAACAAGATGTCCTGGAGGGCCCGGGAAGTGACGCATTTCAGGCTGTGGGCTGTGGCCGGGCTCCTTGTCCTGACCCTCCCTTGCCCGGGAAGAAGCTGTCTCCAACCACCTCCCGGCTGCCGTGTCTCTTGCACCATCCAGAAATGACCCCACCATCAGGGGACTGGGGAGGGCACCTGTGGGAGGTGGCGTGCGGCGGAGGCAGGCCCTGTGTCACACACACACCGCTCAGGCTGTCCTGCCATCTGGAAAGTCTTCCCTGATGCCTGTGGCCAGGCTGGAGTGGGGCCTGTTCCACCCCTATCAGGCTGGCCCCCAAACTGGTCCTGATGCTCAGAGTTCAGTGGGTCAGCGGTTGGTCATTTGTCCACTTAGAGGCCATGCCTGGGCCTGAGGCCCTGTGGACAGGTCTGGGTGACTTGTATTGCCCCTGGCATGATAGAAGCAGGCGTCCAGGGAGCGCTCGCCTGGTCCCAGGGCCAGCGCTGCAGCTAGAGTCCTGCCATGGGTGCTTCCCAGGCCCCGGGCCTCAGCACGTCTGAGGAACAGCGTGAGTAGGTGGTCAGGGCTGCCAAGCTGGCAATGGAGAAGCCTGTCATGGCCCAGGGTGGCCAGTGCAGCTGCTGTCCCTCCCGCAGTGGCCACAGGGCTCCTAGGAGAGGACCACAGGCATGGGGATTTTGGGGATGGCGTAGGTTCTAGGGGATGGCGCGGGGGTTTGAGGGAGGGCGTGGGTTCCAGGGGATGTTGCGGGGGTTTGGGGATGGTGTGGGTTCTAGGGGACGGTGCGGGGGTTTGGGGATGGTGTGGGTTCTAGGGGATGGTGTGGGGGTTTGGGGGAGGGCGTGGGTTCTAGGGGATGGTGTGGGGGTTTGGGGGAGGGCGTGGGTTCTAGGGGACGGCGCAAGGGTTTGAGGGAGGGTGTGGGTTCTCGGGGACAGCGCAGGGGTTTGAGGGAGGGTGTGAGTTTGGGGGACGGCATGGGTTCCTGTTCCCCAACAAGAGTGGGAAGCAGTCCCAGGAGCCACCAGAGGCCTTGTCTTGCTGCTGACTGGCAGACGTGGCCAGGATGGCCACACCTGACACAGACCAGACTCGCCCCAGGGCTGGGTAGGGGTCACTGTCTTTAGCAGCATTGTGGATCTCAAAGCATGGAGGAAGAAGTGGGTGCTGGGGAGGCAAACCAGCCACTCCAAGCCTGGGAGCCCACGAAGGGGACAGCCACAGGCGACATAAAGAACTTTGTCAGGGTGGAGAGCCAGGGGTTCCCATGTGGCCATGGGGAAGAGCAGTGGGAGGCCGTGGGCAGAGGGAGGGACACGTGAGGATCACGCAGGCAGGACCCCAACACCATGAGGTTGGGGTGGCCTGAGGCATGAAACTGGATCTCCCTTGAGAGAAATTTAAGCCCCAACACGTTTGCACCACTTCAGAAGACAGGGGAGCCGTGGAAGTTCAGAAAGGGGCCCCAATGGGCACGCTCCTGTCTATCTCCATGGCCAGCGCTGGGCAGGGCCACAGGGGTGCAATCTGTGGGGGCAGGGCTCAGCGTCCCTTCTCTGTGGATGGGAAGTGCACGGTGTGTGTTCACTTCGAGAACCATCCCCAAAGTCGCTGCGCCAGCCGCTGGGGGCCGATGGCTGCCCCCAGAGCCTCGGGGACCCTGGCCTTTGTGCCCACACCTAAACCCACACCAGAATGGTTGGGAGGCATGGGTGAGTTAGATGGAAGAAAATTGGGGGAGGGGGAAGGGAGATCCAGAATGAAATCCGAAAGTGCAGGAGGAAGGATGTGTGGAGCAGCAAGTCACCTCCTGCAGGGCTCCTGGAGCCCCTACTAGTCCAGGCTGCCTAGTGAGACCCTGGGGTGTCCTTGGCAGGTGCCAGCCTCCCCCCGACCCCCATCACAATCCGCAGCATCCCCCGCCACCACGTCCTTCTGCACGGACTGCCTCCTGTCCTGCTCTGGCCGGATCCTGTGTTCACACTGGCTCTGTCCAGCCCCTCCCTGTGAGGCCAGCTCCAGCTCCAGCCCATAGTGACCACCCCGTTAGCCTCAGGCAGGCTGCACTCCTCTCCGTGGCTTGTGGGGGCCCCACAGGGTCGGGGCTGTGATTGCTGTGGCCTCCCTGCAGGGCTGTGACTCCCTGACACAGACACAGCGTGGCCAGCTGCAGAGCCGCAGGGCTCGGATTTACCAGCAGATCAACAAGGAGCTGCAGATGCGGACGGGCGCTGAAAACCTCTACAGGTGAGTGCTCAAGACCCCCCGGCCCCGAGCAGGGCAGAGCAGCCACCCAGGCAGGTTTCTACCCCCGGCCGGGTCAGGGAGCCGGGTGCACAAGCAGGTGAGCCCTGGCAGGCGCGCGGTACACGTGATGCTCAGCCATGACCCTCACAGACCTGCCTCCATGGGCCTCTGTGCTGGGCTGGAGGGGCCAGGGAACCGGTGTCCCCCGGTGTGCAGCCTGGGAGCCCCAAGCAGTGCACATGGGGGCTTCTCAGAAGAGACATGGTTGAGGCTGAGCTGTGGCAGGTGATGGCACGTCCCAAGGTTGGGGACCTGGGAAGGGGTGGAAGACCCGCTCCTCTTCCTTGGAGTACGCCGCCTGCGAGCCTCGCATGTGTGTGAGTGCCCCTCAGTGCCTGCTGCCTCCCTGCCCCCATCCTGGGCTTCCTTGGGGACCCCTGGTCCCTTTGCCAGGTCCTGATGCAGGCACAGAGAGGCTCTGGCTCTTGCCCACCATCCAAGGAAGTTGTGTCTGAGTGCTGTGAAGGGCTGTATGAGCCCCAAAGAAAGCCGGGGCGCTGAGGGAAGTGCCCCCAGGCTGGAGTCAGGACATGCAGGTGCTGGGGTCAGGGGTGATGAACCGTAGGGGGCATCACCTGTGAGTCCCCGGATCCTGCTGCTGCCCGTGCCCCACCCAGGGGGGCGGACCCTGCCAGCAACATCGCTCTGTGGGGTGAGCTCGGAGCTCCAACAGGTAGATGGCAGGAGGGCTGCAGTGGGCACGGGGCCTTTGGCTCTGCCCTGGGGCTGGGCTTTCAACTGCCCGGCCTCCCTCAGAGCCACCAGCAACAGCCGGGTGAGAGAGACTGTCGCCCTGGAGCTGAGCTACGTTAACTCCCACCTGCAGCTGCTGAAGGAGGAGCTGGAGGAGCTCAGCAGCGGCGCGGACTCTGGCCGGCGTGGGAGGTGCGGATGGGCCGGGACCGCGGGTGCGCGTGCACTTCGGGAGCGCTTTAGGACAGTGGAGGGGGCGTGCAGGTGCCCCTGCCCCTCAGGAGCGGTTTAGGAGGGTGGGGGGTACGCAGCCCTCCCCCGCAGGAGCTGCAAAAACGCCCCCCAGGATCGGTGCACGTGTGGATCCTGAGGGAGGGATGTGCACCGTGCCGCAGAGCCCCAGAAGCGGACATGGACTGCCGAGGGCAGCAGGGCTCAGCCTTACAGTCTGGAGTCAATGCTTCTGGTTGTAGCGAAGCTGTCACTGTTCCCATGATACCCCTGGGCCTGAAGGAGACCAAGGAGCTGGACTGGTCTACACCGCTGAAGGTACGCACTGGCCTGCAAGCTCTAAGGGGCACAGCCCTGCCCTGGGACCCAGGAGGTCTCGGAAGCTTCCTGGTCCAGCCGTCTCATTAAACAGATAGGGAAACTGAGGCCCAGAGGAAGGGTGAAAGGGGCACCAGGGACCTGGCATACATGGCCAGGGACCCAGCCTCTGCTTCGTTCATGGCCCGCAGTGGTGCCTGCGCCCCAGGCTGGGGCTGATCTCATAGAGAGGGTGCAAACACATGCCCTGCCCTCAGACGGGCAATGCCCTAGGACCATGGGGCCTGGAAACGCAAGAAGGGGCACAGGACCCGGGCTCGCCCATGGAGGGCACCGTTGGCTCGGGGCCACACACCTAGCACTGGCCCACGAGGGCCTTGGAAAGGGCTCAGACCCCAAAACAGACTGGCACTGCCTGGCAGGGGCCTGTGGGAGCCACTGACTGTTCAGCATGCGAGTCACTGAGTGGGCCCTGGCCTCTGAGCCACAGGGATGAACAAGGAAATGTGCATAAAAGTGGCACTGGGTCTCCAGGCCCCGCTGCTGTGATGGACTGGGGAACCCCAGGGCCAGAGGGGCTCCGACCCACGTCACCCACCGAGTCCCTCCGGACACATCGGCCCCCAGCCCTTCTCTGGGGCTTCTGAGGGGCCAGGGCCCAGGGCCCCGGTCCTACGTGGCAGCCAGCCTGCTCTGCAACACAGACCCTCCCTCCACCATGAGTCTTTCCCCGGGGTGGGCTGGGAGACCCAGGGAAGGAGGCCGGGCACAGGGTGGACGCCAACACCTGCCCCCATCAGGAGCTGATCTCGGTGCACTTCGGAGAGGACGGCGCCTCCTATGAGGCGGAAATCCGGGAGCTGGAGGCCCTTCGGCAGGTGCGTGGTTCCCCGCCCGCCCGCCCGCCTGTCGTCCTGCAGCCCCGGGAGACAAGCAGAGCCTGAGGACAGGCCTAAGTCCGGAACAGAAGGCAGAGCTCAGTGTGGATGTCCCAGGGACGTGGGGAGACACAGCCGGGGGCGTGGAGGGGCCTGCGGGTGGCTCCCGTGCCGCACGCTGCTGGCCGTCGGGAGTTGTAGCTGCTTAGGGCCCCACTGGCTTTGCCTCCCCATCCCCCGAGGTGCTGATGCCCACAGGGGCTCCCCAGAGTGGTGTGTGAGCGGGGTGGGCCGGGCGGTGGGGCCCAGTGGCTCCTGCCCCGCAGGCCATGCGGACCCCCAGCCGGAACGAGGCGGGCCTGGAGCTGCTCACTGCCTACTACCACCAGCTGTGCCTCCTGGACGCGCGCTTCCTCACCCCCGCCAGGAGCCTCGGGCTCTCCTTCCAGTGGTAGGGACTGCAGGCAGCGGCGCCCTGGGGAGGGGAGGCCTGGCTGCCACGCCACAGACACTCCACCCAGCCTGACCCCGCACTGCAGGTATGACTCGCTGACCGGGGTCCCGGCGCAGCAGCGTGCCCTGGCCTTCGAGAAGGGCAGCGTGCTCTTCAACATTGGCGCCCTACACACGCAGATCGGGGCGCGCCAGGACCGTGCCTGCATCGAGGGTGTCCGCTGTGCCGTGGAGGCCTTCCAGAGGGCCGCTGGTGAGGGCAGCCTGGGCTGTGGTGGGGCAGGGTTTGGTGCCAGGGTGCCACAGAGCCCCTTCTGCGGGCCAGGAGCTGGGGGGTGGTTAGGACGTCAGTCCCTCAGGTGAGGGGGCTGAGCGAGCACATAAGGCCCACCGTGTCCCCGGAGGCCACCCTGAGTGCCACATGGGGCAGAGAGAGGCAGGTGCAGGGCCTGCCGTGTGAGCGCCCTCCCTCCATCCACAGGGGCCTTCAGCCTCCTGAGGGAGAAATTCTCGCGTGCACCAAGCCCAGACATGAGTGCCGCGTCGCTGTGCGCACTGGAGCAGCTCATGATGGCCCAGGCCCAGGAATGTGTGTTTGAGGGCCTCTCACCCTCTGCTTCCATGGGCCCCCGCGACTGCCTGGCCCAGCTGCACCTGGCACAGGAGGCTGCCCAGGTGAGCTCACAGCACCCTTGTCAGGGTGCAGGGGGTGGGGCGGAGCTGGGGTCCAGGCAGGTGTGAGATCTGCCTCCCCTTCCTGTGGGGCTGGAGCCTCTGCTTAAGGGGACGGCACGAGGCAGCAGGAACTGGGGTGCCGGAGAGGCTGCTGGGGTGTTGGTCAGGGCAGGTGGAGGCGAGTGGGCAGAGGCAGCCACCACCCGAGGGCAGGAGGCCCTCGAGTGCCCGCCATGTCCACGGCAGGTGGCAGCCGAGTACAGGCTCGTGCACCAGACCATGGCCCAGCCCCCCGTCCACGACTACGTGCCCGCCTCCTGGACCACCCTGGTGCACGTCAAGGCTGAGTACTTCTGCTCCCTGGCCCACTACCACATAGCCATGGCCCTCTGCGACGGCTCCCGTGAGTGTCCGCCCCGCCTGCCTGTGGTGCTGCAGAGGCCCCTGCCCGGGCCTCATGGCCTCTCTGTCCCCCAGCAGCGACCGAGGGAGCGCTCCCCACACATGAGCAGGTCTTCCTCCAGCCCCCCGCCTCCTCTAAGCCCCGAGGCCCCGCACTGCCGCTGGAGCTGGAGGAGCGCAGGAAGCTTGGTAAGGCGTCTGTGCATGGAGGGCCCTGGGGGCTCAGGTGGCCACCAATAGCAGCAGCACGTCCCACACCGCCCTCATGCCCTTTGCCACCTGCTGTCCCCATGCGGATGGGGAGGCCGCCGACCTATCCCTGGATGCCCTGTGCCTGATGGGTGAAGGCCCAGCACAGGAGTCCCAGGCAGCCAGGAGCAGGTGGGCCACCACTGGGAGCAGCTCGTCCATCCCTGGCCCCCTCTTTGCACCTGGCAGAGCCCCCCGGCACAGCCAGCTCCTCGCCCCTGCCTCAGGCCGCCAGCGAACATGGCTGTGATGAGCCCTGCAGCCCTGGCCTTGCCCACTCCTCCAGCCAAGTCCTGGGGCCCTCGGGCCCACATGGTGTGTGACAGCGCTGTGCCCGGTGCAGGCAAGGCCCACCTGAAGCGTGCCATCCTGGGGCAGGAGGAGGCGCTGCGGCTGCACACGCTGTGCCGTGTCCTGCGGGAGGTGGACCTGCTACGGGCCGTGGTCGCCCAGGCGCTACAGCGTTCGCTGGCCAAGTACTCGGAACTCGACTATGAGGATGACTTCCGCGAGGCTGCTGAGGCCCCCGACGTCCGGCGTGAGCAGCCAGGGCCTGTCTGGGTGGCTGCGTCCCTGGCTGGGGTGGGGGCCTTCACCCGGGAGGAAAGGAGGCTGATTGCATTAAAGACGCAGTCACCACAGTGAATTAAATCACAGGGGCACTTTGTAGGCGGTGATCTCGAGGGCCCGCAGAGCTGCCGGGCCCTGCAGGGGACTGGGGGCCGACGACGCTCCTCAGCATCTCCCTCCGCACCCCAGCCCCTACCCTGAGGGGAAGCCCACAGGCCCGGGCAGGCATGGCTGACTTCAGGGAGGGCTCCTGGAGCCACGTGGGCAGGGAGATCGTGTGTTCAGGGCACCTGGCATGCTCCTCCCACCACTGCAGAGTGGCCAGGCCTGGAGGTCAGAGGCAGGGCCTGTGTGTGCTCAGGTCATGCCCTGCGGCCTGGCAAGTTCTGGGGGCTGGTCACCACAGGCTTCCAGCTTAGCCCTGCTCTTCCTCCCGCCCTCTCAGCTAAGACCCACCAGAAGCCAGAGGCCAGGATGCCGCGCCTGTCCCAGGGGAAGGGGCCTGACATCTTCCATCGGCTGGTGAGCTCACCCGTCCCCAGGTGCCCTCCAGCACTGGCAGCTCAGGCTACATGGCTCTGACCAGCGCGTGGCCTCAGGCCCTTGATGGTGGTCCAGCTCTGCCTGGCCTGCCTCGTGGAACCCTCGGCGTCTCAGTGTGCAGGTTGGGTGGGGGTGCTGGCCAGGCAGGGTCTCCTCTGACCTCTGAGCCCCGCCAGGGGCCCCTGTCTGTGTTCTCAGCCAAGAACCGGTGGCGGCTGGTGGGCCCCATCCACCTGACCCGAGGAGAGGGCGGCTTCGGCCTCACGCTTCGGGGAGACTCGCCTGTCCTTGTCGCTGCCGTCATTCCGGGGGGCCAGGCTGCGGTAAGGGCCCTGCCGGTCCCTGAGGCTGTGCCTGCTTCCTGCCAGGGTGCGATGTCCCTGTCTCACCGTCCAAGTCTCCCCGCAGGCGGCAGGCCTGAAGGAGGGCGACTACATCGTGGCGGTGAACGGGCAGCCGTGCCGCTGGTGGAGGCACGCGGAGGTGGTGGCGGAGCTGAGGGCTTCGGGAGACGCGGGTGCCAGCCTGCAGGTGGTGTCCCTGCTGCCCGGCTCTGGCCTGCCCGGCCTGGTGAGCCCCAGGGCCCTGAGGGGCAGTCCCCAGCCTGCTGTCCCCACCCTGGCCCTGGGCCTGCCCCGGATGCTTGAGCAGCATTAGGAAGGGGAGGCAGGGATGCAGGCCACCCTCCCCGGGGTGCTTCTGGGTAGGGGCCACCTGTGCTTCAGCCTCCACCTGGGGGCCCTGCTCTGCCCCGAGGGTGCCGCAGCTCACCCCTCCCTCGGCCTCTGTGTCCTTAGACTGGAGGCTTCTGGGTCTGGCGCTCCATCCAGAGCATGGCTGACCCAGGGCTGGGTGAAACCCATGGGGCCCCTGCTATGTGGCCATCCTGATGGGAGCCCCCAGACAGTTTCACAACATGTCGGCCCCTCCCAGGGGGTTCTCACCTCCTCCCAGACTGGCTGCAGGTAGGGACGGGCAGCAGTGACTGACCACAGTCTCTGTCCCTGCTGTAGGGGGACCGCCGGCCCGCCCTGCTGGGCCCCAAGGGGCTTCTAAGGAGCCAGAGGGAGCATGGTTGCAAGACCCCAGCATCCACAAGGGCCAGCCCCCGACCCCTCCTCGGCTGGAGCCGAAAGACCCAACAGGGCAAGACTGGAAGCTGCTCGAAGCCTGGTGCCCCAGCGAAGGCGGCTCCACCCTCACCCTCAGGGCTCCCAGGGCGGCTGTGAGGGCCGGGCTCCCCACACACCCCAGCTCTGGCTCCAGCTGGTGGGAAGCATCAAGCACTCCCCCACCCAGAGGACCTGCAGGCAGTGCCTGCTTTGCCCCGTGCCGGAGGCTGCCTCGGGCACCTTCCCGCCCATTAAAGACGATGGTCAGACCTGTCTGAGCCCAGTGACGGGAGCCGTGGCCACTTCACCCATACACAGGAAGGATGCCAGTCCCTCTGTCGATCTGAGGTCAGCTTCCTGGGGGCTCCTCACAGCCTCCCCTCTGTACCCCCAGGCTCTGTCCACCTGCTGCACAGACCCTGAGGTGTCAGTCCTGCCTCCAGCCAAGCTTCTGCCTGGTGCGCAGCACTGCTGCTGGGCACCCCTTTGCTGCTACTCCTGCCATGCAGCAGCCAGGTGCATCCATGGAACCCACAGACCTCTAGGCAGGGTCCTAGCCAAGGCCCTCCCCCGAAATACCTCCCATTGTCCCGTCTGACCCCCGACCTCTGTGCTCTGTGCTGGTTAACCCAGCAAGTGTTCCCTTTGCCAAGAGTTCTGGTGTCAGGGCCCAGGTCTCATGGCGGCCCTGAGCTGTGAGCCCTGCTGCCCACCGTGCTGTCCTGCTCTGAGCATAGGTGCCACCCTCCAGCTCCTGGGCATGTCACCTCTCCCTGATCCTGGGGCCAGCCCCGGCCCCCAACCTGCCTGGCTGCTCCTGCTGGCCTCCACGGGCCGTGAGTTCTGTGTCTCAAGCAGGGGGAGTGGGGACTGCCTCCAGGCCTCTGAACACTGGGCGAACAAAGGCCATCAGCAGGAATGACGTCCCCAGGACAGCAGTGGGCTCGGGCCTGGGCTGCACCGGAGGGAGGGGATGGGAAGGGCCGCAGGGCGGGCAGGCCTGAGCTGCACCCAAGAGAAGCCACAGAGCAGGGCCACCACCCAGGGCCCCAGGGCCCAGCTGGTTCTAGAAGGGACAGGGCTGGCGGGAGTCATTCCTGAAGCCACCAGGGGGCAGCCGCCACCCACTCAGCAGCCCCGAGAGGCAGTGTGGGCAGGTGCAGCTTGGGAGGGCCAAGCCACAGACCCTGGGTGTCAAGGAGCCCCCAGCGCTACAAAACCCCTCTCGTCCCGGCCCTTCCAAGGGTCCTCCAGGTGGGGGCAGCCCGTCCTGTGGGCCAGGCTCCAGTTCCAGGACAGGACCCTGCACTGCCACCTCCCTTGTGCTTCAGCCAGGAAAATGGGGTGCCAGTGGAGTGTGTGGGGGTCCCAGAGACGCAGGCGCCACGGTGCCATCTTCCTGGGTGGGAGGGCGGGGCTGCCCAGCCTGAGCCAAGGTGGGGATCCATGTGTACCCCTTTCCCCCCCCCGCCCTCCTGGGAAAATCCCCGGCTCAGCAGAATGGTCCAAGGTCACAAAGGTCTCCCCAGCACGTATTAATTTGATTAATAAAACTGCTTCAAGGAGGCCATTAGGCGCTAATTGGGGATGACACGGTGGCAGCCCTGTCTGGGAGTTTCAGGGACTCCCCACCTCCTGTGGCCTGTCCAGACCCAAGGTGGGGCCAAAGCTGCCCCCTGCCTCCTGCAAGGTGGGCACTGGGCCACCACAGGCTTGTGGAGGGGGCTCTCCCCACCTCACCCGTGGCGTGTGCCCCTCCTGTCCAGCCCCTGCCCATACACACCTCTTCCCTGGCTGCCACCAAGGCTGGGCCTGTGCTCCTGGCCCTTCTCCACCCCAGGCCGTCCTGTCCCCTGCTGCCCCTCACGGGTCTCCCTGGGGACTGCCTCCTGTCATCCTGTCCCTCGGCAGAAGGGTGGGGGCCTCACAGTTGGAGTCCTACGTGGCTGGGACTGGCTCCTGTCACCACCTCCGTCCGACGTCTGTGAAGTGGGGAAAGCCTGGGGCACGGGGGTGCTGTGGGGATTCGGGAGGCCCTGAGGTCCTGCTGCCCGCTGGGGAGAGAGGGCAAAGGTCCCGGGGTCTGGAGCCTAGAGCTCTAGTGAAGGCAGGGCTGGACGGGGGTCCTCCTCCCCACCTTCCACTTGGGACTGCTCCTAGGGCAGCAGCGAGTCCCTCTCCAGAATGGAAAGCGGATGCCAACCAGCCCGGCCCCTGGGGCTTGGACCATGCCACTCCAGCCACTGTGCCAGTCCTGCCAGACAGCCCCTGGGCTGTGGGAAGGGACCATGCCCCATCCTCACTCCTGCACCAGCTGGTGGCTGATTGCTGGACGTCCTGGGTGGACTGCCCAGTCCAGCCCCCAGGGGACTCCAAGTCCACACAGGCAGCTACAGGAGGGGGCATCAGTCACCACAGCTCTAAGAGACCTGGGGACCAGTCAAGGGCATGATGCCAGGCCTGGCAGGACCTACAGCTACATCCCTGTGGCCAGCTGTGGCCTGTGCCCCTCCAGGGGGCAGCAGGCCCTGGGGCCAGCATTCAGGGGGCACCTGTGCTGAATCTGTCCTAGCAGGAGGCAGCAGCTCAAGGTCCGGTCTCACCTGCTCAGGCTGGGAGCAAGCTGGATCACAGCGGGGCTTCGAGACGGGGAAGGCAGGGCTGGCTGCTGGGGAGCACTCTGTCCAAAGGCCGTGCCTCCCAGTGGGTACAGCTCTCTGGTGCCTGCCCGCCCTGCGTGCCAATACTCCGCCCTGTGGAGCCTGTTCTCCCCTGAGGTTCTGCTTGCTTGTTCTTGGGCGTTGCTGGCCGGCGCTATTTTGACCTTTAGGGGTTGGTTAGTGTCCCTTCCTAGGACGGCCTGGCTCGCCTGCACCCTTTGCATGGCTTTAGCCCCGCCTTCTGGCCCAGCCATGTCACTTGGGTCACTGTGTCACACAGGCCAAGGGCAGGGATGGCACCAGCGTGTCCATGAGAGCACGGACGCGTGGGGCAGTGTTGCCAGGGAGGGCGGGGCCGGCGTCCAGGAGCTGGTGAGGCCGCAGCGTGATCCTGCCGCGCTCCCCATGCCCGGGCAGAGCCAGGGCCCACGACGGATGAGGGGCAGCACAGGGACCCACGGCGCCTGGGACCGCGTGTGTGTGCGTCCTGCCCAGGCGCTGGGCCCCTCGCGGCGACACTCCATTTCCAGAGTGGTCCCCAGGCAGGAGGCTGAGCTGAGCCTGCGCTGCCATCCTTTCTGCTTTGCCAACAGAAAACTGCGGAGAACGGAGAAGGCCGACTCCGTTTTGCTTGGGTCAGCAGTGAGCAGGATTAACGCAGGGAGAGGAGCCACGGGGGTGGGGGCGGGGACTTGGGGATGGACAGGGCTGGGGGTGGGGTTGCAGGTGGCTGGGCTGGGGATAGACTGGGGTGAGCCCAGGGCAGGGTCCCCACTGCTGAAGTCACACCCCCCTCACACCCCTGAGGTCACACCTTCACCACTCTCCCCCACCCCTGAGGTCACGCCCCCCCCCACCCCCACTCCTGAGGTCACACATCCAGCACCCTCCTGCACCCCTGAGGTCACACCCCCCACCCTCCCCCAACTCCTGAGGTCACACACCCCCCACCCTAGGTCATCTGGCGTATCACTGTGCCCCCCGCCCACGCCCGTCCACCGCCCGTCATGGTGTGGGCAGCACATACCCCACTCTCCCCACACCCATCTCTGGTCCCCATGAGGCCGTCACGGGTGACCTCAGTCCCCCGTCACTGCCACCCTCCACCTCTGCCTCTCAGCAGCCGCCTCACTGTTACGGTCCCCTCATCTCCCACAGCCCTTAGTTCATCAGTGTCTCTGCCTGATTGCCACCGCGTTTTTTCTTTTTCGAGGTGGAGTCTCCCTCTGTCACCCAGAGTGGAGTACAGTGGCGCCATCTTGGCTCACTGCACTCTCTGCCTCCTGGGCTCAGGCAATCCTCCCACCTCAGCTTCCCACGTAGTTGGGACTACAGGCGCCTGCCACCTTGCCCGGCTAATTTTTGTATATTTGTAGACATTTCACCGTGTTGCCCAGGTTGGTCTCGAACTCCTAGACTCAAATTATCTACCCACCTTGGCCTGTCAAACTGCTGGCATTACAGGCTTGAGCCACCACACCCGGCCTCCACTTCTTTGTTCTTGGGTCCACAGAGCAAGGTGGGACAGGCCAGGGACCCGTGGTGGGGCAAGGGCCTCTCCGAGTCTGCAGGAGGAAGGGCACCCCCTTCTCCAGGGAGGGGTGCGCGGGGCGGGCGGCAGTGCCTCCCTTCTGCCTCCCTGGTGGTCCCCGGGCCACTCCCTGCCCCTCAGCGATGGCTGAGCGCCTGCTGCTGGGCGCTTGCCTCCCAGGAGCCCGCACGAGCCCTGGCCCCTCTCTTCGTGCCCTTGCTACGTCCTGCACCGAGTCCCAGCGGTCGTCCTGATACGTGGCTGCACTTGGAAGTCAGAAGATGAGGCCCAATGGCTTGTCGCAGGGCCCCCCCAGGCTCCTCGTCTGCAGACGAAGCCGCTGAGGAAGCCTTGCAGGTTCAGGCCCTTGACAAGCTCCCTGATGCCCCCTGAGGGTGGGGCCTTGTCTTGACCACATCTGTTCTGCCCACAGCTCCCAGTGAGCTGGAGGGGAGGGGGTAGAAGCCAGTAGGGTGAGGGATGCAGGCAGGGTGAGGGGTGAGCAGGTGCCAGCTGGGAGGCTGACCTAGGGTGAGCTGGGAGAGCCACCAGGAACGCTGTCCGCCAGGCTGGGCTCTGGGCTCTCAGCCGTGAGGACAGGCCTGGCCCTGCGGGGCTGACCGTCTAGGGGCTGAGATTGCATCTCAGGGCAGGAGGAAGCTGGGGGTTCTGGGCGTGAGAGGCCTGGTTCCTGCTTGGCCTCCGGGCAAGCACGGTGTGGAAGGGGCGGAGGGGCAGGGATGGGCTGGCAGGGGAGGGCAGGCTGCCTGTAGAGGGGCACCTGGGCCCCTGCAGGGTGCTGTCCCAGGAGGGCATTGCCTGGGGCTCTGTGCCCATGCCTGGTGGGTGCTTCTGGTGCCCTGCACCCAAAGACCAGAGGGCATCACCCTAGAACATGGCTTGTGAGGGTGCTGGGTGGGGTGTGGGGGTGCCGGGGAAGTCCCAGCCTGGGCAGCGGCAGAGGACAGGCAAGTTGGGGCTTCAGTCCAAGGTGGGCCCGCTGGTCAGGGGATGCCAGTGGGCGCCCCAGGGGTTGGCCTCCAAGGAGTTGCTGGGTGCACTGTGGCTGGACAGGGACTAAGGGAGACCTGGGGGTCACCCAAAGCCCTGGAAGAGGGTTGGGGGCAGGAGCCGAGGGGAGGGCTGCCTGAGAACCCCTGGGAGAGGAGTCTGAGGAGGCTGGGGGTGTGGGGCTGTGCTGGGGGTGGGCTGAGAGGGGAGGGAGAGAGAAGGCGGAAAGAGGGGGGAGGGACAGCCAAATGGAAGCTGTGAGCCCCATCCCCCTAAGGGTAAGTGCCACTGGGCCTTGGGTGGGAGTCCCAGCAGAGGGGCATGGACAGGGACCCTGCAGGTTCAGCCCAGGCTGGGCTTCGGGTGGACCCTCCTGGGTCTGGGAGCCTGAGAGCTGGTGGCGGGAGGCTGGACGGGAGGTCTGGGCAGGCCCCTCTCACGGTCGTCTCCTCTGGGATCAGGGCTCTGGCCGGGCCCTGTCCACCCCTTCTGGGAGGGGTCTCCGGCTCCACCCTCCTCACAGAGGCTCTGCCCCAAGGCTGTGCTACCTTCTCAGGAGCCAGTGGCCCGGCACTGAAGCCCACGTCACAGCGGCCTTACCCGCAGCTTGGTAGGGTGACCCTGCTGGGCACCCACCCCGGGGTGGCTGGGCTGCACCCCCAGGCATAACTCAGTGTTTACTTGGGGGGGGATTGGCTGCCTCCACGGCTCTGGCTCCCCCCACACCCCCTTCGGCCCCCAGATGGTTCGCCAGACATGCATTAAGGCAGGAGTGACTTATCGAGCTGTCAGGGGGAGCATTTTAAGACAGAATTATAGGGGAGAGGAAAAAGATTTTTACCAAATTAATGAAAAATCAATGTGGCCTCAAAAATCCATTAGCCTTCATAATGCGCCGGTTCCAGGCTGAGCCGCACAGTCCGATGCCGGCTGTTAAATTCACGGCGGCGTCCCCGCCCGCCATTCGTCACCATGCGGTGCTTACTCCTGAGAGTGACGCCTGCCCGGGAGCCCCTGGGGGCCGGCCCTGGCTCCCTGACCACACGTGGAGACGGGGGAGGCCCTGGGGGAAGGGGTGTGGACAGGGCAGTGGTGTAGACGGGGTGGGGAGTGTGCCGCTGGTGTTGGTGGCGTCCGGGGTAACCAGCCGCCAGGATGTCATTGCCAGGGTGGCAGAGGGCCTGGTGTGGAGTTGGTGAGGGTGGCCAACAATGACAGTGGCGAGTGACTGCGGGTGAGTGACCGTGGGGTGAGTGACTGTGGGTGCGTGACCATAAAGGTGAGTGACCGTGGCGTGACCGTGAGGGTCACCCTTACAGTTAATGGGTGGATGGATGGGTGGGTGGATGGATGGGAGGGTGGG